AGATGAGGGATTGTTCAATACAAACTTCAGTACTGTGAGGGCACTGGAATACTTTCAGTAGTAAGTTAAATGTATTTTTTATTCAAAATTAGTAAACATTTAATTAGCAATGAAGTAATTTAATTAGATTCATCCTTCTTACATCATATAGTTTTGTATATTTTAGAGTCTCATTAAATGAGATATTTTTCTCTGGTTCAAAAATATATGGGGAGGGAATAATAAGGTCTTAAAATAATACCAGTTAGAGAGAAATGCTTAATTTAGAAATCTGTATGTGTATTTTTGCTGGTTATATTTTAAAGATAAAAGTTCAATATAAAATTTTTTTCTGAACCACCCCTTTTTTTTCGAGACAGGGTCTCCCTGTGTACTTCAGGCTACCCTTGAATTCATATGTATTCCAGGCTGACATAGAACTCATGTCAATCCTCCTACCTCATCCTGCTGAGTGCTGGGGTTACAGGCATGTACCACCATGTCCAGCACCGAACTATTTTAGACTACGTTGCTGACATACTTAAGTACCCCCAAATGCTTATTATGTATTTTCTAGAAAGACATTCTCCTGTATAACTGTGCATAACCCATCATAAAAATAACAGTGATTGTTACTATCAAGTTCTCAGACTCCATTCAAGTTTCACCAGTTGTTTCAAACAACGTTTTGTGTAGTGGAAAGATATTTCAGATTTGTGCAGTTTATTTAGTTGTCATGTCTCCAGTCTTAAATCTGGAAAAATTCCTCAGTCTTTGACATTGATGACCTTAAATTTGAAAATGAAGGCTGCTTATTTTGTAGAATATCACTCATTTCGGGTTTTCTGATGGATCCTGGGGCAAAAATTGAAGATACAGAAATGCTTCTGCTTTCTTGTCATTGTGTTGTCAGGTGGCACACATTTTTGTCTTAACACTTTCCTGTTGGTGTTCACTTTGATTACTTGACTAAGATGCTGAAACGTCTGGCGGACTGTTTTTTTCCCTAAAATTGTGCTGAGGGAAGGTATGTTGAAACTATAGAAATATCTCACTCATCAGATTTTCACTTGATCTTAGCCAAAAGGCCGAGAAGCGATTACTCATCAGATTTTCAATTCATAGGTACCCATTATTCTTACTGTTTTGATAAAATTTTCTAAGATTTCATCAATAAAAACCCTTTTAAGCTGGCCTCAGCACTTTTGTGACATATCTCCATTATTCTTTCAACATTTCCTTTCTTTCTGGCATGAGTAAATGTTTCAGGTTCATCTTGTCTCTACCCTTCTCCTGAAATCAGCCATTTCTTCTCTAAGTTCTAGTTCTTTTTATGGTGAATGGGATTTAGAAACTAAGCTCTGAATTTGTTGATTTCTGTTGGAGTATTGCTGATTCCAGGTCCTTTCAAGTAGTCCTAAGAGGTATATGTAAATATGTATGTGTATACCGTGTATAATTATGCAACCCATTTATATCTATCTTCTCTCTCTGTCTCTGTATGAGATTACACTTAACTCCAGTTCCAGTTGACACTGCAGTATCAGTTCTCATTTTCTTTCTATCCATATTTGTAATTCCTTTATCTGTCATTGAGCAACCTGGCTCCCATTATCCTTGGTCATTTTTCTGTATATAACTTTCCTGTTACCACTTCAGCCTACATAGGTGCTCACTGCATCCCACTAGGGGCTTCAACACACTGCTACAGGCTCTTATCCTGTGCACCCTTCCCTCTCCAACCCTTTCAAGTCTAAAATCATGCCAGGATATCCCAACATCCCTACATAGATCCTGTCATCCTCATCCCAGTAATATTCCCATACCTCATTCCAGGCTGCCCCTCTCCCAAGTGAATTCCTTTTTCCTCTGTCTCTGGCTTCAGCTCCATGATCAGGGCCATCCATGCTGTTCCTGGGCTCTGATGGCCTGCATTGGACCTCCCTGGTCTCCGTCCCAAACCTTTGAATCATTATGGAAGAAGAGGAAAATAGCTACAGTCCTTTATATTTAAAAAAAAAACAAAACAAAAAACTTAGGAAGTGTGTTTTCTCTAGTGAAATTGGAACAGTATTTTAAATTTACCTCACCAATTCATTGAGCATAAAATTATACAATCCCTACTGAGTACCATGCTGCTGGAAAAGGGCAGGCCTGAAAAGTTCCCTTCTCTCATGAAGCTACATTCTCTAACTAGCTGTTTAGGCTTAGGCAAGTTAGTAACAAACTAGTAATCTATTCCTGTCTGTCTCTGGTCTGTCTTGTCTCTCTCCCTTACTTCCTGTTTCCTCATATCCAATGGAAATAGTAATTTAGCTCCAAGAATTGTTATGAAAATTAAATAATACATGAAAACACCTAGCCGAGTGTTAGTTACTGTCATAATGGTATAATTTATTTTAGTATTTTAAGGGAAACCAAAAAAATTCTGGTAGGGAAGAAGACATCTCATCTCCTCTTCGAATTATTTTACCTTTTATTTAGTCTGTTATCTAAAAATATTAACAGTTTGAGTGTGTGTGTGTGTGTGTGTGTGTGTGTGTGTGTGTGTCCTGTGACCCAAAATAAAATACAAAAGCATAAATAACTAAACAGCATGGCATTACCTTACCTGTTAGTTTCAAGTGAGGTCTATTAGGTAGACCTCCATTGGGCTCAGGAGACTTGGTATGTTGTTCATGTATTTGTAGCAAAATTAATGAGAAGGTAATTATTTTGCGTTATTAGAAGAGAAATTTTTCTTACATGGTAATGTATATAACAGTTACTATTTTCTATAGGGAGGTGATGACTTAAATTATATTTTATTTTTAACTTATAATAGCTGCTGGTTTGGGTCACACTTGGAAGGTAAGGCAACTATGCAGGCTACAGTGTGCACCGTCTCTTTGGCAACTGAACAGGCTTTGTGCTGTGTGGAGTGTGGCCTGGGCCCATCAAGCCTTAGCAGCAAAAGTACAGGAAACCTCAGAGAAGAATAAAGACAAGACACAGGCTGTCTGAGAAGAGTAACCTCACTCTATGTGCCCCCTCCCCAAATTCTTCAAGGCCACAACCCCTCTCCTTCCTTTAAATTCTTTGTTTTCTGTCTGCTCTATGCTGACACCCCTTCAGACAGCCTGCTAGCTGGATGCCCAAATCAAATAAACAAGCCTCCTTGCTCACACAATGTCTGGCTGTCTGGCTGTGTCTGTGTCTGTCTGTCTCCTCTCTTCCCCTCCTACAATTTGAACCCAAACTATGATTGCTGCATCTATTTCAGATGCATTTAGTAGTTTCTATACTACTCTGTCAGTGATGGCATTTTAAATACATATAATGTATAACTTGTAAAACTCTAGAATAGTATTTGTCCTGGAAGCTGTCTGTATCTTCTGTCATGAGAAACGGAAACAAGTCTTTCTAAAGTTACTTTTGTATAATGTACTACTTTTAATGAAACAGTATTTTAGAGGAAGGTAATTCAGTTTTATAAAATAAAATTACCTTTATATTGCAATGTTTTATATTTGTGTTGCATGTTATTGGATGTTAGTGTGATGGTATTGAGGAATTTCAGGAATACAGAATAGAATACAAATCCCCACTAAATCTTCACTCTGAGTGGTTAAAGGGCCAAACTAAATTATGAAGATGTAAAGAATTGTGATGATATTAGTTAATTGAGGGATTTCATCATTTAGTCTTAGTGCTGCCAATTAGCAGATCATAACTGACTGGAAGGCAGAGGTGAGATTGCTAGGAAGGCTTCCAGAGTAGATGGTCTGATGCAAGGAGGAAAGTGAGATGTTCCGTAGAACTTTGGAGAAGAGCTGCAAGGCCAAGGAAGAGATCTCTAATGCAGTGTGACAAAGAGTGTTAGGCAGAGCACAAAGCTGAGAAGAGCTCTTTTGCTGTTGTTGGCAGTAGACAGGAAATAGGAAGGTCAGAAGGATCTGATTACAATGAGCTTCTAATGGGAAACACAGGAGTGCTGCCAAAGGTTCTATAATTCCATATTGTAGGTATATGAGGTAAGAGGAAGTGGATTAGAGATAAATGCAGAGTAAACCAGTCAGCCAAGAGGTGAGTTAGATGCAGGGTGAGAGAATGGAAAGGAGGATAGAAGATAGCTCAGAGAAGGTTGGAAACCTGGTACAGAACGGAATGGGGAAGATCATATCTTGCTGAATTGTAGACTTCATATTATGTATATATAATGTTGCTTTGAAAAACTAGCTATGGTTTATATTTCTTTGGTTCTTGTTTCTCTCACAGTTTTTTTGATCATTCTCTTTTGTGGAGGTGGTACCTGGGATCGAACTCCAGTCCTTGTGCTTGTGAGGCAGACAGCAGCACCACTGAGCTAAATCCCTAGCCCTTCTCTCACAATTTTTAATGTGTATTCACTATATTTGTAAGAAGGTTTTTCCTTTAAAGTTTCATTTGTTCTTGTTGCTTCTGCTGCTGTTTTATCTCTCAATAGACTTAGCCTATCCAAGGGAAGTTTTTCTGTGGACTATACTCCTTAGAAAGATAACAATAAGAAACTTAAGAAATAAGACAAAAGTTAAACTAGAGATTTTCCTATTCCTATATTTAATTGTATGGCCAGGTATTGTCAGTAGCTTTTATCCTTTACATGTTTTGTCAGTCTTCTACATATCAAGCATTACTAAGTATTAGGGATAAAAGGATGAGTAAGATGGAGTTCAGATCAGTGTAATCAATTAATTAATTGGTAATGCTGGAAGAACAATTTTACTAATTTGAGAAAATACTTTATGCACTACTTTTTTGTTGAAACAAGGTCTTGCTATATAGTTCATGATGACCTTAAACTTGCTAAGTAGCCCAGGCTGGCCTCAAATTGCAGCAATCCTCCTGCCTCAGCCTACCAAGTGCTAGGAGCACCACTGAGCTTGGCTTCTAATACATTTATGTTAAGAATATCAGATTTACAAAGTTTTGGTTAAAACTCCAGCTTTATAGAGAGTGCTATTTCAAATCATTTTTCTTAATCCAAACTTTTTTCTTTGTAGCGTCTGCAGAAAAAGAGGCAATCAAGGGTACGTACTCCAAAGTCCTGGATGCATATGGACTCTTAGGTGTTTTGCGGTTAAATCTTGGTAAGTTTGTTATTCAGTGTAATTCATGTATTATTTTCTTTTCATTTTTGTAATTCTAAGGATTTGAGAGAGACTACCTATTATCATGTCAGACTCAGTAACTGAGTTACAAAGTGGTAACATCTTTTAAATGTTAAGCTAGTCTATTGATGATGTTTGTTGCCTAAGAAGTCATGCTACATCCTTAAGCTTTTGTGACTTTGAATTCCAGAGTTTGTGTCCTGTCATGCAGATCGTACACGTGGCTTCCTTCATTGATACTGTCTAACAGTGGAAAACCAAACGGGGGAAAAAAAGAGTCACCTAAATGAAAGGGTGAATTTAGTAGTTGATTTCCCTTCTGGTAGTGGCCCCTTTTTTCTTGTATGTTGATGGCCCATACTTTGAGTAGCACTAGTCTATAAAATGGAGATTTGCCATGTATTATTAATCTATTACAGACAAGACACTGTGCCTGCATGCCTTACTAGTAATTGTTTTAAGTAATTCTGAGGTATTTTAACCCCTTTTTACATGAGGTTATACCTGAGTTTGGGTGTGCTGATATACTGAAGTTGGTCTAGATAAGTAGTAGAGCCAAGACTTCAGGGCCACTTCGGTCTGTGTCAGAGGTCATGCTCAGCACATTACTGCTGAATTCCAACTTGCTACTCATTTCATAGAATTTTGTCACTAGATGAAAAATGTCTGTGAGAATGTTTGCAAAGCAAACTGCTTTATAAATTGTTACCAAGGACATTTTGCTCATATGTCATCATCATCAGTTAACGTTTGCATACCATGTTTTCTGCTTTGCTGTTTACAAAGAATTTTCACATTCTTTATCTTATCTGAATTTCTGACATCATAAAGAGGTATTAAAGGTATTACATATATTTTGTGTGATAAATTTGTGTAGCCTCAGTTTAAGTAGAGGTCCAATTTCATAAATACGAGGTTGTCCTGTTAATGTTTAAATTCTTACTGCACTAAATATGTTTAAGTGAGGAATTTTTTTCAACTAAACAAAAGCTAGTTTTGAATTTAACCATATCCATGATAAATTTAAAGTAACCACAATGTCAAGTTTAAAAGATGAAGACAAAAGAAAACAATCAGAAGAAACTATTTATTTTTAAGACATCTCACTCTGTCAGGTTGGCCTTGCACTCACTCTATAGCCCAGGCTGGCCTCAAACTCATGGTGATCCTCCTACCTTCAGCCTCCCATGTGCTGGGATTACAAGTGTGTGCCACCACACCCAGCTAGGAGAAATTTTAAATGGCTTGGAAATAATTAGGTTTTTTCAATCAAATAAAATCTTTGGTTCTTGCAGGTGACACTATGTTACATTATCTGGTCCTGGTCACTGGATGTATGTCTGTTGGAAAAATTCAGGAATCTGAAGTTTTCCGAGTTACTTCTACCGAGTTTATATCACTTCGAGTTGATGCTTCAGATGAGGATCGCATTTCAGAAGTGCGAAAGGTTTTGAATTCAGGAAACTTTTATTTTGCATGGTCTGCATCTGGAGCCAGTTTAGATCTGAGTCTCAATGCACATCGGAGCATGCAAGAGCACACCACTGACAATAGATTTTTCTGGTGAGTCTGTTTTATTTTTCCCCTTTTTAATAGTGTGTGCAGTGGCTTTGGGTATGATTTGTTCAACAATCGCTGTCCTCCAAAGATGGCTGATGGTGCACACTTACCTTCCTTGCTCCCAAGCCCTCAGCATGAGGTGGTAGGTGGCCTGTGTTGGGATGTTGAAGTTGGCATGTAACATGAAGCACACTTGTTCTTGATCTACATAAGATCTTTCACTTCACAGATACACTTAAAACATTTGTTTTAAATGGGAATGATGTTAGTTGTAATAAAGTCATCTTATTCATATTTATTATTCTGAGTTCTGAAATTTTGTCATTAGCGTTATCAACATTGTAAACCAACCTCTTATTATTTTTAATTTTAGGATTATAAATAGATAATCTTTATTATTATCTTTATTATTATTTAATTAGTGGTACTGGGGATTGAACCATGGTCCTGCAAGCAGGCAGGTGCTCTATGACTAAGCCACACCCCCAACTTGTTTTGATGATCTTGATTCAAAAGCGACGGACTGTGAAGTAGTAGTGTATTAGGACAAAGTCTATTACTACAGAAAACAAAACTTGCATACATATTACATAATTGTGCATTACTGTGCAGTGTTATAACTAAGCATGAATGGTGCGTAAAACATGAGACTCTAATTAGTATAACTTTAGTATAGCAAACTAGATTTCATTGATGTTGGGTTTTTTTTTCTTCCTAACTGCCATATGCAAATTATTTGTCATTCTGTTGACATATGTTATAAGGCCAAAGCCTCAGGACTGTCTCTGCTCTTGGCATCCCTCAGTAATTCAGGTCTAAGGTGTCCCTCCTGTGTATTTTCTATCCTTCACATTTTCACCATCACTTTGGTTCTTGAGTAGCATATTCGGGTTTTACCCATTTGCCCTCATCAGAGGTTTCAAAGTCAACAGCCTTCAAAGAGGAAACTAACTTCACAGCAATGGTTTGGGTCACCTTATACCTTACATGGAAGTGTCTTGACCCAAAACAGTGCATAGGGGAGGAGAGAGGGCAAAATGAGCAAAGACTTTAGAGCACTTTCTGTCAGAGACTTGGGTTCAGCAAGGGAGGAGACAGTGAAAGATGGGAAAAAAGAGACAAATGTAGTAGAGGGGTTAATAGAGAGGATGACTGGACTTAAAGCTCCCTCTCCTCAAGAAGCTCGTGGTGATGGTACATACTTTTGTCTAACATTCAGAAATAAGCTTCCAGGAGTTAAAACCTGTGTCATCCGTACACTTTGCTGAAGGCAGGCATTGAAATCCTTTGAGAAAGGTAATCATGTTGTACTTGTGCTTATGTTTTTCTTCCTTTCTCATTCCTATCCCAGATCCCTCAGATGGAGAGAAAAGAGCTTTCCTGTCACATTTGAAGTCCTAGCAGGTGCAGCTGCATTTGCTAAGTTTAATCAGTAGGAATAATTCATTCATCTCTTCATTCAGTTAAAAGTAGAAATGGGGACATTGAGACCACAGAAAGCCTTAGGGGTTTGTCCAACAGGTGACAGATTGAACAGAGGGATGGCTAATGTAGCAGAGATGAATTTTGCTCATTTTATAGTTTTTATTATTTTGCTAAGGATTGGCATACTTGAGCTTCAAGTTCTGTGGAAAAATGAAAGTTTTTAGAATTCATTCCTTGGAATTTAATATAAATATTTTACAAGACAAAATAATTATTGTGGCCAGAGTGCCACATTGTCACAAAAACCAGGTACTTTTGTTCCATTGGTGATTCAAAGCTGCTGCCAGTTAAGAGTTCTGTATAAGTTTAAGTAGAATTAAAGCAGTGACACTTTGACAGTAAAGGAAAATGAAAGCTGACAGCAAAGGATGAAACTCACACAAAATGCCTAGAATCCAAGGGCTGTTTAAATGGGAAAAAGTGAGTCTTACCTCCATACTATGCCGTGGCTCTCACCTGTGGTGCCTTGGACATACTGGCTCACAATCCCTTTGAAGTTTATTTCAGATTAATGTATAATAAGCAGTAGTAAAGTACTGAAGCTTATGTCACTGTATTTGTCAGATAAGTAATGATTATCAAACTTACTGCTATCTCTTTATCAATTTCATCATCCATTGACATTCCAGTGTGGTTTTATTTTGTTTTTGATACTGAGTATTGAATCTAGGCCCTTCCCACAGAGCTATGTAGTTTCCTGAATGGGTAAGAGGTTGGGGTTGCAGCTGGTCCACCTGAACTGCATATGACCACCACCCATTGCCTCCCCTGCAGCTGTAACCCAAGTGGGCCCAAGAATGAGGACTGCTGCTCTAACGGTGTTGGCATCTGTTTCTGTTAGTAACCCTGAGTCTTCAGGAAAGTGCTCTTGTAGTTCTTGTACCTTGTTTAAGAAAGCTAAGTAATATAGAGCACCTGAGGAAGATTTCTGCTTAAAATGGTAGAAAAGTTTTAAAACTCAGAACCTTCAACAATACAGAAAATCAACATTTACATTGATAATGGTTTTTCGCTTAACAGCGTATTTTTCTTGGTGGTAGGTTGGTTAGATGTTACCACAGAAGCTTGCTTAGGTGTTCTGTAGAAGACTGGTTTCTGGTAGAGACCTATGCAGCCCCCAACTTTGCTTTAGCTGTTGTGACTCCACTTTTATCTGTCTTAATCATTGAGCTTCTGAGTGTTTATTTGAATAACTTTTTCTTCTGCAAATGTTTGTAAACCAAGCCCATCTGTTACTTACAGTGCTAAAAGTTTCAGAAGGGGGCTAAGGGCGTAGCTCGGTGGTAAAGCACTTTCCTAGCATGTGTGAACCTCTGTCTTCAGTTCTCTACTCCTAGAAAAGAAAGGTATTTGGAAAACCCTATGCTTGTGCTGTCTAATATAGTAGTCATTAGCCATATCTGGCTTTTTTTTTTTTTTCTTTTTGAGACAAGTTATCACTAAGTAGCCCAGGCAGAACTCTTAACTCACAGAAATCCTCCTGTCTTAGTCTCCTGCGTGTTGAGATTACAAGCATGTGACACCATATCCATTTGACCTTTTAAATTAATTAAAATAGAGCCTTATAGAACTTTTTTTATAAGTAGAGCTTTATATAGTGTGGTATGGAGGTCTGGATACATGCCTTTTTAGAACAAATTAGGCTGTATACATTGTATAAAAAGATATAACAAAAACATGGCACACGTACTGAAATCACAAAAAAATACTATCTTTAATACCACAGATTACATGTCTAAGAATTTCATTTTATAGCTTTATCTTCTAATCCCTAGCATAATAAATGTAAATGAACTGATTTCTTTTTGGTGCCTTTTATTAATTTTTTTGTGTGTGACCGGTGTTAATTTTTAAAATTAAGTTTATTGGTACAATTTAAATCTACATATTGATCACATGCATTGTAGGTAATTTGTATCTGTTCATGATATATCTTGATTTCTCTTTTTTTCCCCATTCCCCTCCTCTCTTCAACCCCTCTTCCTCTCCTTATATGCAAAGCTTTCTTTCCATTTTATCCTTATTCCTTTCTCTTCCTTCCTTTCCCTCTCCCTTCTCCCCTCTCCCCAGTTCCCATTTTCTTTTGAGCAATTTCTTTCTATTTTACAATATCTATTATACATTTTGGTCCTTACACTTTGAGTTTCTCACACCAAAGAGACAATGCAGTATTTACATAGATGTGTCAAATTTATTTCACTTAAGAGTATGGTCTCAAGGTTCATCCATTTACCTAGAATTATCTCAAGTTTATCCTTCTTTATGGAGGAGTACTTCATTGTGAGGCAGGCAGCAGCACCACTGAGTTAAGTCCCTGGCCTAGTAATACCTCATTGTATTAAAAAAAATATTTTTCATCTGTCTTTTTCATCTTTTCATCAGTTGATGGGCATTGGGCTGTTTCTTAGATTTAGCATTACAAACTGTGCCGCTATAAACGTGGGTGCACATATATAGTTCTGGTAGGATGCTTTTAATTCTTTCAGGAACATAACTAGAAGGGGAATAGCTAGGTCAAATGCAAACTCTAATCCTAGTGTTTTTAGCAATCTGTGCACTGATTTCCACAGTGGTTGCACTAGTCTATACTCCCACCAACAGTGGAGAAGGGTCCCTTTTTCCCCCAGAGCCCCACTGGCATTTGTTGTTGGTTGATTTCTTGATAATAACCATTCTTTTCGGATTGAGATGGATCTGAGCATTGTTTTCATTTGTATCTCTCAAATGATGAGTGATGCTGAACATTTTTTCATATATTTATTTTCTGTTTATACTTGTTCATCTGAGAAATGTGTATTCATCTCAGAAACCCAGTTTTGATTGGGTCTTTAAATTTAGGAGGCCTGATATTTTTCGATTCTTTATATGTTCAAGGCATTAGTCCTTTGTTTTAGGAACAACTGACTAAAATTTTTTCCCACTCTATGAGTTGTCTTTTCACTCTTAGTGATTTATTTTGCTGTACAAAAGAGATCCCAGTTGTTGAGTCTTTGTAGTATTTCTCTTGTGATCAGGGTTTGGTTTGTGAAGTCTTTGCCTATACCTGTGTCTTTATCACATGATCATCTCAGACACTGAAAAAGCATTTAACAAAGTCCAACACCTGTTCATGATAAAAACCCTACAGAAAATTAGAATAGATGTTCTTTATCTCAATCTGACAAAAGCCAACTATGACACACCAACAGCAAACATCATATTAAATGGTCAGACACTGAAAGCTTTCACTCTAAAATCAGTAACAAGACAAGGATACGCACTATCCCCATTCCTATTCAATATAGTTCTGGGACATTAGCCAGAGCAATTAGACAAGAGAGGGAAATAGAAGGAATAAAGATAGGAAAGGATGATATTAAGTTATCATTATTTGCAGATGACATGATACTTTACATAGAGGATTTCAAAAACTCCACCAAAAGACTTCTAGATTTAATAACCAAATTCAGTGGTGTATCTGGATACAAAGTCAACTCAAAAATCAGTATCATTCTTATAAACATAATAAACTCACTGAGAGAAAAATTAGGGAAACAGTTTTCACAATAGCATCAAAATAATTAGGACTCTAACAAAGGAAATAAAAGATCTTTACATTGAAAATTTCAGTACTCTGAAGAAGGAGATTGAAGAGAATATCAGAAAATGGAAAGATTTTCCTTACTCTTGGGTAGGAAGGACCAACATATGAAAATGGCCATATTCCCAAAATTGCTATACAGATTTAATTCAATCCCAATCAAAATACCACTAGCATACATCACAGAACTAGAGAAAACATTCCTAAAATTCATTTGGAAGCAGAAAAGACCTAGAATATCAAAAACAATTCTGGAAACAAAGGTGACTTGACTTGACTTGACTTCCTTGACTTGAAATTATACTACAGAGCTACTGTGATAAAAACAGCGTGGTATTGGCAAAAAATAAGCATACAAAAAACAGACTTGAGCATCAGTGGAACAGATTAGAAGATGCAGAAACAACCCCAAACACACTTAGGCACTTATCTTTGACAAAGGGGCCAAACACACTTATTGGAAGAAAGCCTCTTTAATAAATGGTGCTGGAGGGCCAGGGATTTAGCTCAGTGGTTCCACTGCCTGCTTTCCAAGTGCAAGGTCCCGAGTTTGATTCCTGGTACCACAGTAAATAAATAGATAAATGGTGCCAGAAAACCTGGCTTTTCACATACTGAAGACTAAATCTAGACTAATGTCTCTTACCACGCACTAAACTAAAATAAAAATAGATCAAAGATGTAAATATTGAAACAGAAATACTACACTTGCTTCAAGATAGGTTAGGTAGAACTCTTGAAGATATTGGTGTAGGAAAACATTTTATGTATCAGACTTTGTGACCCAAACCTTGATCACATGGGAGATACTACAAAGAATGAACAACTAGTGCCTTTTAATTAAATAAGAATAAATTAATATTCTGGGGGCACTGTTTTAAAATTTATACTTTGTTATTTAGTAACCTAATGTAATTACTTATTTTTCCTTTAGGAATCAGTCTTTGCATTTGCATCTCAAGCACTATGGTGTGAATTGTGATGACTGGTTATTACGCCTCATGTGTGGGGGTGTAGAAATCAGAACAATTTATGCTGCTCATAAACAGGCAAAGGCTTGTCTCATTTCAAGATTAAGTTGTGAACGAGCTGGAACAAGGTTCAATGTCCGAGGAACAAATGATGATGGTCATGTCGCCAACTTTGTAGAAACAGAACAGGTATATAATGTTTTATATGCTTATTCATGTATCATAGAAGAGGCCCAGGATATAATAGAATAACAGATTTTTTTACTTGATCCAGAATACATTTTGACAGCTATAATGTCAGGTTATGGTGTTCTTGGCTACTTATTGGCCAAGAGAGGGTTCTGTAAAACAACCTCATTTAGGTATTACTAACTAGAGTGCATAGTCAATGCTGTACATTTGATACTAAATTTTAAAATCCATAGAGAAGTAGACAATTTAAGAAAAGTTGGGGTTTTTTTTGTGAAATGAAACCTAATTCTTAATCAGAGATATGTATACTACCTAAAAATTAAGTTATGATATCTTTGACGATGAAACTATAAGGTTTTGAAAAATAATGAAATGTAAAGGTATGTGTATAAAATATTTAGATCAAAAGGAGTTGCTTTTAAAAAGCTGTGATTCTTGAGCTTATGTATGTCCTGTTCTCTTCATTATTAACATTAACTGAGAAAAACAAACTTTTGCATACTTTGAGTAGGTTAATTTATATATGATAGGTTGTAAAATATAAACACTGTGCAACAGATTTTAGTAACTTTGTTTTTCTAATGAAGTAAATGTGTGTGTGTGTGTGTGTGTGTGTGTGTGTGTATTCCCCCCCCCAGGTTGTATACTTAGATGATTCTGTTTCTTCCTTCATACAAATCCGGGGATCTGTTCCATTGTTCTGGGAGCAACCAGGGTTGCAAGTAAGTGGCATTCATTTTTTTTTCTTGGAAATACTCTGTAGTCTCTAAATTTTCAGAATAGTTCATTAATTCATTGATTGCTCTATTTTCCTAATAATAATATTTGGATTCACAAGTGCGGAGCTGAGAAGAGTCTTATCTTAGATATCTTCCTCTTTAATTTGCTTTCAAGTATTAGTGAGTTTTCTGTTACTGTAATGATAAACCTGAGGCAGGGCAACTTTATAAAGAAGAGTTTCATTTTGGCTCATGGTCACAGAGATTAAAAGTCCAAGATTTAGCAGCCCAAGATTTGGTTCAGCTTCTGGTCAAGACCTAATGCCAAAAGGCATTACATCAGTGGAAGTGTATGAGGATAAGATCAGGTCTTGGAGCCAGAGAGACAGTCTAGGCGCAGCTTGGCTTTTCTTGCAAGAACTGACTCCAGAAGTCCCACATTGACTTTTGAGGACAGCTCTCTCGGTGCCTAAGGAACTCCCACTAGGCCCACCCTCCAAACCATTTCACGCTGTCTCCTAACACTGCCACCTGGGAAACAGGCTTCCAATGCTTGGACCCTTACACAAGAACCTGCATCCAAGCTGTAGAATGTGTCCATAGAATTTCAGCTGCTGTATTGAGAAAACTTTGAAGTTTTCATAGTATATTAACTTTCAAAGTATTTTCATATCTATTATCTTAGTATAAGGGTTTAGTTTCTTTGGGCAGAAGGATGCAATCGTTCAAATAAGCTTCTGTACCAAGACTTCTTAGTTTATCACTACTAGCTGTGTGGTCCTGGGCAAGTGATTTTGCCCCTCTGTGTCTCAGTTACCTGGCCTGTAAAATGGAAATGATGTTCCTAATCTCCTTCACAGGGTGGTTGTGAGGATTAAATGTCAACTCTGAATAGTGTTGGGCACACAACACTATGTAAGGGTTAGCTGCTGCTATTAAAGTAATGTATTTGTTACTGCCAGGTGTGGTGGCACATGACTGTAATCCCAGTACTTGGGAGGCCGAGGAAGAAGGATTGCCGTGAGTTCAAGGCCATCCTGAGCTACATAGTGAGTTCAAGGCCAGCCTGAACTGCATAGTGAGAACATGTCTGTCCCAACCCCCCAAATATATTAATATATATATCTGGTACTGTAATTTTACCTTGTAGTCTTGTGATGATCTGTCATCGTATTTTCTGACTTGCTCTCTAATAATTTTTAAGCATGCTTTTGTCAGTAAAAATGTCCAATCTTTAGGAGATTTTTTTTTAAATGTATAAGGTCACAATATTATATTTATTGTATGTGCCCAATAATGTAATCTTGCATTTTAGTGTTATTCAGAAATCCCTAGGCCACAAAGTGTAAGTCATATTTGTTTTAGCTTCGGGGTATATGTAATTCTGTAAGTTGTGTGCTTCAGTCTATAGTTTTGAAAAAAAGGATGTAAAAACTTTTCTCACCTCTTTAGCTTACTGCTGAGTCTCTGTTATATTCTGTATTGGCTATTGTGAAGAAAAGTAACGGACCATTCCAGTTTTTCTGGTAATTCAGTTCATTCACCATACGTCAAGAACTAACTGGCAGGGCTGGGGAGTTAGCTCAGGATTTAGCTCACCACCCCTGCTTTGCAAGCAGAAGGTCTTGAGTTCGATCCCCAGTACAAGGGTGGATGGGAGATTAACTAGCATTAGCACTGTTTTGCTGGCTTTCTTTCGGCTTTTTTTTTTTTTTTTTTTGGTACCAGGGATCAAACTCTGGTCCTTGTGCTTGTGAGGCGGGCAGTAGAACCACTGAGCCAAATCCCTGGCCCAAAACCCCTCCAAGTTTTTTTTTTTTTTTTTTTTTTGGTACCAGGGATCAAACTCTGGTCCTTGTGCTTGTGAGGCGGGCAGTAGAACCACTGAGCCAAATCCCTGGCCCAAAACCCCTCCAAGTTTTTTTTTTTTTTTTTTTTTTTTAGTGGGTACCAGGAATCAAACTCAGGTCTTTGCACTTGTGAGGCAGGCAGCGGATCCCTTGCTCTTTAATTCTTGTCAAGACTGGCCTGACTAATGTGGGCTTTATCTTCAGCTTTAAGAACAAGTTAAATAGATAGTTGTATCTCTCCCCTAAGTCTCTTGGGAAAGAATCTCAGCGTAACCTCACCATTCCTAAACTTTGGAGATTAGTAGTGGATGTTTGGAATGTTTCCTGGTTAGATGCAAGTCACATGCTTTTCTTTTGGGGACAGCATAGTGTAAGAGATTCTGGTAGCCTGTTTATGAGCCCTGTGTTACACTGTTTTCTGTATTGTTTTATTACGTATTTCAGAACTACAGTGTTTACTCAGTAAAATTGAATCCTGAGTACTGAGGGATCCTCCTTTGTGTGAGATCTTCCTTATTTCTCCTGTGTATTTCAGCCTCTACAGCCTGGCTAGCTAATGTCATGTATCTGTGGGTTGAAAACTATTGATTTTTAAGTCATGTATTTCTTTATAGTCTATTTTTTTGTTTTGTTTTGTTTTTTGTACCAAGGATCAAACTTGGGTCCTTGTGTTTGCAAGGCAGGCATTGGAACCACTGAGCTAAATCCCCGGCCCTATAGTCAAAAATTTTGAGACATTGAGACAGTCCGACAATTCTGCCAAATTGTCACTGTGCTGGCCTGTTGTTGACTTGAGTTGGATTGAGTGTTGAGTCAGTGGTTTTTACATTTAGTTACCTTAATAGTTTTTAAAGTTAACCTTTCTTTCAATAGGAATGGATTCTTTCTGAGGGTATCTTTTATACCAAAACAAGTTCCCTACTGTTCTAAAAGAGTGGTAATAAAGCAAGGAAAATATGATTGCTTTTTCAAAGATTGGGAAAAAGAGATCATTAATTTTTAAAAATAAAAACATCAAATCCAAAGGTTTATTATTCCATAGGTGGCAAAAAGGACTTTTTTGACAGGGTGATTGTAAGTGGTTATTAGGTGTCTTGTGTATTCTTGGGTCTGGAATTTATGGAGAATCCTTAATTTAGTGTTGGCTTGTTCCATGTCTCACTTTAGAAGTCATGACAGAATCCTTGACTTGCTTCTTCGTGATTAATTCCAGTGTGGCTATTTAATTGAAAGATTAAAAACAGTCACCTAAAATGATTTTATAATGCAAATTTTCAGCCCAATTTCAGATCAGTTGAATCAGAATCTTTTGGAATGGGACCAGGAATCTGCATTTTAACTGGGTTCTCTCCCATTAACGTTGAGAATGTCTGTTGTGCAGGATCTTACTCTCATGGCTTGAATCAGCCAGGCCTGACCAAGCAGAAGTGTCCCAACATTCTCCCAGACAGTGAAACTTCCCATTTCTTTTTATTCCCCCTTCTGTCATTTCAGTAAGATTTTCGTAATTTCTTGTAGCCTTAAGGATTCTCAGTTTCCTTAACAGGACTCATCCCTAAGGCTCTGCTTCCTACTAGCTCTCTTATAGATATTTCCACCCCCCCCATCTAGTTTATTGGTACATTTTAGGTATACAGTACAGTTACATTCATCACTACGATCTTATACCTTTACATGATGTATCTTGGGTCTTACTTTTTCCCCATTTCCTTGCCCTCCCTTCATCCCTTCCACCCTTCCATATTTACAAAGACTTTGTTTCCATGTTTTTCCTTTTCTTGTATTTTTTCTTTTCCATTCTTTCCTTTCCCCTACCCCTCCCATTTCCCCTATACCTTTAGATGTTTTCTTCCTATTTCACAAAATCATAAATTATACATTTTGATCCTTATTTGCACTTTCAGTTTTTCACACCAGAGAAACTATTTGATATTTCCACTTTAGATGTACGAGGCTCATCAGATATACTGAGCCCTCTTCTAATAATGTAGTTTGCCTATATTTTATCCCTTGCTGTTTTCTAAGAGGAATTCCCTATTTCCAAATTAAGGTGACTGTTCTTCAGCAGCCAATGCAGAGTTCATCGAATAAATGAATTCCAGTCACCCTTCCATGCTGACCTTTTCATGTAGTACTTCAGTTCTTCCAGTGTGTATTACTTTATACCAGGTGCTATGAGATACTTAGAGACTATAACGCTGCTTACAGAGAGCATGTGGTTTGTTTGGAGAGTCAGGCCTTGTACTGCAATGGTAAACTACAGTATGAGGGCTTGGGGTTTAGCTCAGTGGTTCTGCTGTCTGCCTCTCAAGCACAAGGTCCTGAGTTTGATCCCCAGTACCAAAAAAATACATGAATTTCTTTTAAATTTTATACAGTTATAAAGGGCTTCACAAGTAAGAATGATATTTTTTAAGTACTGGCAAATCATTTATGATTCTTTTTCTCTGAAGTTCTTTGACATTTATAATCTATAGTATTATTCTCATATATTACTGTTATATTATAGTTTATGTTTGTAAGTCTTCAAATATTGGAAACCTAGCCAGGGCATTTTGACAGACACCTATAATCTCAGCACTCTGGGAGGCTGAGACAGGAGGATCACAAGTTTGAGCAACTTAATGATGTGGTGAGACTGAAAGATAGAAAAGGGCTGCAGATGTAAATCAGTGTAAAAGCCTTGGGGGAATCAGTTTCCAGTACCACCAAAACTGAACAAATGAATGAATGAATGATGAGAAAAGAAAGGAAAAAAGAAATGAAAGTGGGGGAGGTCAACATTGACAAGATTATTCTTAGTTCAGTGCTACATGTTCAATTTTTGGCTGAGGTTTCAGAAAAATGTGAACTTAAAGTAATGTTAATGATAGAGATGATATTCTATATCACTCTTAATTTTTTTATTTTTAAATTAAATTTAATTTGGGGGAAGGGAAAGGGTCTCACTGTAGGGAACAGGGAAAGGGGCCATTTCTAGAACCTATGTAGTAAGTCTAGTCTCCTGCAAGCCACAACAGGACAAGGCAAATTAACTGAGTATACAGAAAAGATAGGAAAAATGAGACTTTGAGAAGAAGCTGAGATTGGGGCCTGATCAATGCTGCTCTGGGTGGCAAAGAAGGAAGCCCCAGAGCTTGCCTCACCTTTATTCAGTACACTGGGAGAAACAAATGTAACAAATGTCTCCAGAGAGTTCAGTATATTGGGAGAAACAAATGTAACAGACTCTCAGAGGACAGCAGAAACCCCAGTACAATGAGGAACTATGCAGATGAAGATTTGGTTCCTCCCAAGATGTCTCCAGCTGGTGTAATCCTGCTGTGGAGCATTACAGCATCTCAGGATCCTTGAAGTCTTAGCTGTGACTGGGTATGAAGATGGAGTTATATCTCGACATGCCTGTAGCTGTCCTGTAGACAGAAAAAGTAGGCCCTAATCATGATTTTTCCCCAAAATTATGTAGAACTGCTCCCATCATCTCACTATGTGACCTAGGCTAGCTTTGAACTTGTGATCTTCTGCCTCAGCCTCCTGAGTGCTGGGATTACAAGGGTGTACTCCTGATACGGGGAAAATATAACAAAGGCATTTTGGGGAAGGGATGGGTCCAGGTCCAGATGTTGTGGTCACCCTCCTGGGTGACTGACGTCTATCTGGACTTTACTGGGCCATGTGATATCAAGTATAGTATAATTGCAAGTTACTCCTTATCCTGTAGGGGAGGCCTATGAGCCTGGTCCTTATATTTTTATCTTGAGGCCTGGTGGTCTTCAGATGCCTCCAGCAGCAATTCTGATGTCTTTATTTTTCCTCTTGACTTCTTGGGAGCTCAGTCCCACTCTGGCTATATATTAATTTCTATCTAATTTAGCTGCCTGTAATGCTACTATGTCTTACTCTAATACTTTAAAAAAAATAACCTTGATGCAACTTTTTTTTCCCTTTAGGTAGAACTTTAAATTTTAAAACTTTCTAGAGTGTTTCTTTTATCACAATTCACAATAGCTGTCTAATAGAATATTCCCATTAATGTTGAGTAATTAAACCTAGTTTGAGCAAGCCAATCCAATGCTCAAAAGCATTGATATTTAGCTAGAAGTGTTTCTGTGTTGGGGAGAGGGGTAGTAGGGAACAACCACAGGCTTTAACAAAAACCAGAAGAATTGTACTTTTATATCTTGACAGTTACAACACTAAACAACATAAATATTGACAAGGTAAATTTTTGTAGTGTTAATACAGTTTTTGTACAGTTTTTGTAGACAGACCTTGTATAGTGTTACAGACTGTTGAGAAAAAGTATCAACTTCTGTTATTTTTCTCTAGTCTAAATTGCTTAATGCCATGGAGTGTACATTTTTCAAATTTAATGAAGGCTATTAAGTAGCATAAAATGAAATTGTATCTGATAATTCAGTTTACCCAAATGTCTAATCAATCTCTTATTAAAGAGAATAAATAATCTACTACTTAGCAGGACAATCATATAATGACTGATATAAGATAATTGACATAGGATAAGGAGGAAAAATGATAATACTTTCAATTTAATTTTGAAATTGCACAAGCACATATGAGCTTTTGCTTTTTGTTTTTTGTTTTATGAAAACTTTCCTCCTACACTGTCTTTAAAGCTACTTCATTTGTAGATCAAGAATAAATTCTGGGAAACTTTGATCCCAAATTCTCAGAGAGAAATACTAGAAAGTTCAAACTGGTCTCACTTAGTGTTTCTTTTTGACATCTGTTATTTCTTTCTCAATCCTGCCTCATCTCTCTGCCACTTTACTATGTGAGAAAAGAATAACTAGCAATACATAAGAGGTAGATATTTTTCATCTTATTTATTTCACTTAACCCAAAATTTCTAATTTTGCAAAATATGCTATTTTATAGTTGTGTGACAGTGAGATTGACTTGGAACGTCTGATTTTTCCAGAAAGGAATGATGATTTTAATTCTTTGGAGTTTTTTGTGATGGAGAGTGAACTAGAGTATTCAGCATACCAGAGAGAAAAGACACATGGACATTGTAGTGGTAGACTGCTTGGAAGAGGAGAAATTTAGGTCAGGAAACCAAAGAAACCTCACCTGAATCTTTTGGAATTAGTCACACAGGTTTAAGAGGGAAGGTAAATCTCTTCCTTTACACAAGTCATGTAGTTTGAGCTGAAAACAAAATAATATATATGAAAGCATTAAAAATATTTTTCATCAAGAAATTGTTATTCCTTTACAAATATTTCATAATAGTGTAATTTGAACTTCTTTTTTAATGAACTTTTTTTTTAACAAAGCAAAGGGGAAATTCTTAGAGCTTTTTAAGAAAATATTATCATGAAGGAAAATCTCTTGTTTAATTTACTTACATGTGTCCAGCAAGTAAATTGTTACATACATTAAGCATATATTTATTTTATCCACATGTTGGTTTGTGGCATGATGAAATTTGTTTTTCTTGTCTAAGGTGGGTTCCCATCGTGTTCGTATGTCAAGGGGTTTTGAAGCCAACGCACCTGCATTTGACAGGTAGGCCTGATTATTTTTACATAGTGCCTCACATTTTGATATTGCTAAGAGTAAGACTAGTTATATTTGCCAATTCATTTAAATGTCTTTTAGCTCTTAAGTAAAATTTCTTCTGATTTCTAATTTAGCTGGAGGACTGTGATTCCTAGTGTATTGACTTTTAGGGGTGCTAGTGCTGGAAGTGTGGGTCTTGATCTCTTGAGTTTAAAACTTCCTGTCTGTGTTGTCCACTGTGGTAGCCATTAGCCATATGTAGCTACTGAGCTCTTGATATGTGCCTCGTTCAAGAGAAGATGTGCTATAAGCAGCAAATGCAAACTGAATTTCAAAGACTTAGTACCCAAAAAAATGCAAAATATCTCAAGATTTTCTTTATAAATATGACTTTTTAAAAATGTAAAATTATGGGTGACTCTCACATTATATTTCCTTTGTATGCTTTACTATGTATGGCTTTGCTATATATGCTGTATACCAGTGGTGGCAAACCTATGGCATGAGTGCCGCAGTGGGCTATTTGTATCATTGAAAGCTCTTGCTTTCACTGCTCTGTATAGTACTTTCTTGTCCTCAGGGAATATATTTCAAGATCTCCCAAGTGGATCCCTGAGACCTTGTACTGTACATACTATATGCATATATGTCTTTTCCTAAACATACATGTGTTGAACTTTGATTTAATAATTAGATACATACAGTAAGAGTTTAACAAGAAGAACTAAATAAATAGAACTATAATAAAAAATGAATGTGATGTCTGAGTCAAGACAGCTATTAGTGTTTTCAGACAATGATTGACCTCAGTTAACTGGAACTGTGGCAGCCGAAGCCACAGAGGAGGGGAGGACTGTTGTATGGCCCCTGGATGGCTGGAGGCTAGAGAGGAAAGAACTCATCTGGGCTTGTTTTTCAAAAGTGGAGCTGTAAAAGGGTCGCTCTGAATACTCCTGGAATAGGTGACCTCATGTGTGAGGTACTGGCCTTCCCCCACTGCCCCTACTGCAGGCTCTGCTATGTTTTACCTTGTCTGGTGCCAGCACCCCAGAGTGGGAAGCTCCAGTGTGGGTAGGAGGAGTCTCACTGTCTGTAAGTCAGAGAGGAAATGCATTGACTGAGTTTTAATCAATTCCAAGGTTTGAGAGCACATAGAATAGATATGTACCAATTTGGCAAGTTCCGTGACTTTAAAGTACAGCCACCTGGGTTCTTTTTAAACCTAGGATGGATTCTTCTTGATTATTGGGAAAAAATTTGCCTTATCTTTTGACATATGCTTATTTCTTTACTTTAATAGGCATTTTAGAACACTTAAGAATTTGTATGGCAAACAAATAATAGTAAATTTACTTGGATCAAAGGAAGGTGAACATATGCTAAGTAAGGCTTTCCAAGTAAGTATGGTCATTTCTTCTCCCATTGTGAAGGTCAACTAGAATAGAATAATGATAATCAGATTCTCCTAGGAAGTACATTACTTCCTGGGAAAAAGATGAGGTACTTGTTGAAACCTATAACTCTTTGGAGCTATTAAGATTGAGTTTATGCTAGGGCTTCTGATGTTGGAAATAAGGAAAACTTTCAAGACAGTTGACACTATTTTCTAATCTGTTTATTTAATATTGTACAGAAGCATAAAAATATCTCTTCCAGAAATGTTCACATCACTAGTAGATAAATATCAGCCAATTTCCTTCTTTATTGCCTTGCCTACTTCCTAGACACCATAATCATTGTTTTAAAACTATGAAATGGTCAATAATACATTTGTGTCCATGCAAAACTATACCTTCCTGCATTGAGAGAAAACTTAAGTAAAAAAACTCAAAAAATGGTTAACTTCTAAAGAAAAAAATACAAAATACTTTAATAAATTAGTCAGAAATAGATTAAGTAAAGTATGGTATTATGTAAAATTATAAACATACAAAATGGTTAGGAAACATTTTCTAAAGTTCATTCTCATTAAATCTAAAAGTGATCTAATTGTTTAGCTATTTTTATAATCTTGTGAAATGAATATTGTTAATAAACTTTAAAATATTGAATGAAGGTATAAGAAATCTTTCCTCACTTAGGCCTTGTGTTAAAAATAAGATATTTTATTTTGAGCTTCTGTAATAGATATAAATAATTATTGAATTTGTATTGTAAAAATAAAATCCTGGTGATTGGAAATAATATTTTATTCTTTAAACTAGACCAGAATATTATTTAGGTTCCCTGATGTGGATAATGACACTTGGTCTCTTTGGGATAGTGTATGAAGTTTTAGAGAATGGATGTCATTATCTATCAGGAAGTTATTTTCCATTTTATGGCCAGTGTCAATGAAAGCTTTGTGGTATTAAGTTTCAAGGGGCCAGCTAAAGTTTAGTTTAAAATGTAAAGTTCAAGTCAGGGATGCATTTCAACTTTGCTAGCACACACAGCACCCTGGTTCAATCCCCAACACCACAAAAAAGAAAAAAGAAAGTGAAAAAAATGTAAGGTTCCATTTATACCCATAAGGTCAAGTAAAAATTAGATAATTATTTACCTTTTTACTTTTAGAGTCATTTGAAAGCTTCTGAACATGCTGCAGATATCCACATGGTGAATTTTGATTATCATCAAATGGTTAAAGGAGGAAAAGCAGAGAAGTTACATAGTATTCTGAAACCTCAAGTCCAGAAGTTTCTAGATTATGGATTTTTTTATTTTGATGGAAGTGAAGTTCAAAGGTTTGACGACTCTATTTCTCTGTTCTTTAAGTTGGAACTTTGCTATAACTTAAGTCATTCTTAGTATTGAACTCATACTAAATTTCCTTTCTAAAATTTAAAATTTTTTTATGCTTGGTTTTAGGCATTTCTTTCTATAGGATTCAACAAATAAGAATAAAAAATTACATTACTGAGCAAACATGGGACTAGCAGTCTTTATTTGTATCAGTAATAATGAGTAGAAGAATAGGTTCTATTACTATGCCTATTTACATTCGAAAAATTATTTTAAGATGTGCCTTATAATTTAAATCTTCAGTTTTTGCATGTGAAACAGGAAAAAGTAGTTTGAAAGATTTAATTTCAGAATATAGGCTGAGGTATAAACTTTTGTAAAAAAAAAGCTCAAAGTTTTATTTTTTTCAGTTTGTATATTTTATTTAGTATCAGTGCCATAACAATTTTATAGGATAGCAACAGAAATAGCAGATCTTAGATTTGTAAACATTCATTCCATAAATATTTGGTTTTGTATGCAAAGAACTATAAGATTATATTTAGCTCCTAAACTACTGATCTAATTAAAAACAAGTGTGTGATGGATATGTGATAAAGAACACAGGGCAAAATATTAACAAATGTAAAAACCTAGGTTCAGAGTATAATTCTTTCATCCTTTTGATATATTTGAAAATTGTGATAAAAAGTTAGAGGGAGAAAGTGGTGCTACATTTTAGTCACTTCAGTTCTCAGTTTGTTATAGCTTTATTTTTGCCATAAACCAGCTACCTAACATTACTGAAACTGTTACAGGTGCCAGAGTGGTACAGTTCGAACAAACTGCTTGGATTGTCTTGATAGAACAAATAGTGTGCAGGCATTCCTTGGCTTAGAGGTAAAATAAATTAAAATGTGTGTGTCTTGTGCCATATGCCTCTTTGAGTGTTTTGATAATACTTATATCTCTCATTAATTACTTTTCAGAAAATACAGATGAAATTATTCTTCATTAAAACTTTATTTTTTACTTCTAGTCTCTTTTGGAAGGTCAAAGTCCATTTTGATTTAAATGTTTTCTTTATCTGTCCTTCATATTCTTTCTGTAGCCAGCTGTTTTCTGCTAGTGTTTCTTGATTTCCACTGTTAAAAGCTGGTATTTATTCTAGTGCAGTAGTTGATGCTTTTGAATATCACTTGAAAAAAAAGTCCTAATTTTGTGTTTTGTCTCTTAAAAGTCTGTTTTAGATAAAGAGGGTCTGTCTTCCCATGTACAGTCCTGTTGAGTTTGTTTGTTTGTTGACAGTTTTTTACTTAATCCAGTTTGTTTGGCATTTTCAAATGAGTACCTACTAAAAAGAGGGTTGGTTGAAAATGCCACAGTTAGAATGAAATTGAGGGCTGGGGATTTAGCTCAGTGGTTTCCTCCACCTGCTTTGCAAGCGCAAGGACCCGAGTTCAATCTCTGGTACCAAAACAAAAGACAAAAACAAAACAGAATGAAATTGAATGAGTTTCAACTTCTTGTAAGGTTTTTGCTTAAAAGTTGTTGATTTTATCTTCTTTACTGTTTATCCATCAGATTGAAATATAATATAAATATAGTCCCAACTATTTGACAGACTTTGTGGCAGTACTACAAACTAGCTACTCTGTAGCTGATCTTCTGTCTCAAAAATGAAGTAAAAGCCAGGCATGGTAGGTAGTACATGCCTATAATCATAGCACTCTGAGAAGCTGAGATAGGAAGGCAGCAAGTTTGAGCCCAACTTAGGCAATTTAACAACTTATAGAGACCCTGTCTCAAAAGTTTACAAAGGGATAGAGATATAGTTCAATGTGAAGTCCCTGAGTTTAATCCCAGGTATTGTTTTTTAAAACAGTGTATAAAATTCTCTGCAGAAATATATATATTCAGCTTCTGTTTTTAAGTGGCTGGATGCAATTACATAGATTCTGTGTAAGCTTATTGAAATACTTGAAACTCTTAGTGAAAGTGGAGCAGGTGTTAGTTTTCAGGCTCCACCATAGCTGACTTTCACTACTGGTAATTAGATGTGTGAATCAATGGCATTTGGTTGGCTGGTTACAAAATATACTAAGATAGACAAACCAAACTAATAAGTAAAATCAGTTTTGCCCATTTCCTTGGAGAGGGAAAAGTTTAAATGATTAAAGAGATCCTGGGAGTTTATTTTGTTTTACTCTACTTGCTAACAAGAAAGCTCTGGTGTAATCTGTGGGTAATAAAATGAACCTGTTTGAGGTTAACATTATTTTAGTTTTGATTTTTTTATAATTGTGGATAATCTTAACAAATAAAAAAAATAAATGGGAAGGAGTTAAGTAAATTTGCAAGGGATGGCATATTACTGGAAAAACACACTAGATACCAATTATATCTTTCTTTAACTCTACCAAATTTCAAGGTTAGAAATCACAGAGTGAAGATGGATAACTTTTCTGAACATACTTAGTTAGTTGGGATGGAGGAATTGTGGTGGCCCAGAAGTCCTTCATTCTCTAGCAAGCTGGGTTCCTTTGATTTTCCTTTATACACTGTACCAATAAGGTTTTATACGTAAAGAGCTATCATGACTCTATAGTCAGGATATAATATATTTTCTTTATTTTTGTGACAATTTAACAGCAAGTCCCTTTTTCTTATAATCTTTTTTTTTTTTTTTTTTTTTT